GCCATGTGGGTGCTGGGAATTGAACCTGAGTCTTCTGGAAGAGCAGCCAGTGCTCTTAATCACGAAGCCATCTCTCCAGCCCGCTTTTGTGTATTTTTATAGTTATTTCCTTTTTAGTCAATACAGGCTCATGTAAAATATCATTTCGGTGCAACAATATTTTCAGTTGATAACTTTTGTTTATGAATGTTGATCACATACATAAACTCTGTCCCTTTATTTCTTTCTCCTTTTATGTTTCCTTTACTGTGTCTATAGATTTCATAGCTGTAGTTATTTATGTTTTTGTCTTTTAGCTCATATAATAGAATTAAAAGTGATACATGGGCCTGCAAGATGGCACAGCAGCTAAAGGTGCTTGCCCTGAGTTTGATCCTGGAACCCACCTAGTAGGAGGAGAGCATGGACTCCTTTAGTTTATTCTTTGACCTTCACACTCGAACTGTGGCATGCTTCTCCCCATCCCCAATTAAATAAATGAAAAAAAAATTGTTTGTGTTTTATATGATGTCTCATGTTACAGTATTACAGGATTTTGATTGTTTATGTATTTACTTTTCCAGCAAGCTTTATACTTTCCTATGTTTCTGTGTTGTTATCTAGTGTGCTTGGAAGGGGTATCTAACATTCCCTTTTAGGCATGTTTAGTGGTGAACTCATTCAAACTTTTATGCATCTGAGAATGCTTTTTTTTTTTCCCTGATATGTGTAGTGTTTTGATAGTTTTGCTAGCTACAGTATTTTTGGTTCATGACCCTCCCTGAATATGCATTTACTCCCTTCTGGCTTGTGAAATCTCTGCTGAGAAATCAGCTGATGGTCTTAGGATTTTTGCAGTGATGCCATGTTTTAAATCAATTTGTTCATCAAAGACTTGAACTCTGAATCTGAGAAGAGAAAGCATTGTGCTTTATGAGGCCACAAAGCAAGGTAGGCGACAGCAGTGTGTCTATCCGCTAACTCGGCATCTAAGTTAAAATCTGAGCATTCTGTTATTTCTGTCTGTACTGAAAGAAGCTTGGAGAGCAGGAGGCTCAAGAGCTGGTAATGACATCTGGGTAAAGAAATATACGCGTAGGTGTTTCACTGTGAAAATAGCAGCCCATACTTCCAGACCCAAAATATTTTTTATAGATGTGCTTAATTTGTGTTTTTCTAGTGCAGTATCTTTGCTTTATTCTTTCTACCTATGTGTTTACTTAATTTAGGTTATGAGTGTCATAAGAATGATAACGACTCAAAGATTATTTAGTGTAAACATTTCTGACATTTTTGTTTGTTTGTTTCTGAACCAGGCAGAGGAAAGGGTGAATGCTTCTTGAGTGCCAAGGCTCTTAAACTGTACTTTTAGGGCATGAATACAGTATTTTATTTCTGTCCTGACAATATAATTAAAACATTTATTTAAGAGGCACATGATGAAATACACTATTTTATAAAATGCCACTAAGTGCACTGATTGCCAGTTCTATAACTAAGGATCTGTCAGAGGGCCCCGGTAGAAACCATCACACGAGAGATAATTGATTGAGACCAGTAGAAAGCAATCTAAGATAACCTTTTGTTTTTAATTAAAATGGGAAATAAGAAGCCAGTTCAAAAAATTGTCTTCCTTTATTTGTCCAAAGTGAGAGCAATGGAGTTTCCATTCCAGCAAAGCCCCAGCACCTGTGAAAATACTTAGGAATTCTGGCTGTGTACCATGAGGTTGTCTCCAGTGCTGGCCTTGCCCACATGCTGCTGTGATATACTATGGCAAGGATCATTAGCAAATTAATATTTTTAGCTGTCACATGTTTTGGTGGCAGGGTTAAGAGGACATTTTTCCTTCTTGAAATTAAAGTCAGTGCCCTTTAAGAAGCTTAGAAGAAATGGGCTTTCTAAGATAGAAGACATGAGTAGACGCTGCATACAAGCCTTTGAAATGTGGAGTGTGGAAGGTTAGTTTTTGGACTGCATCCTCATCTATCAAGCTAAGGCTGGACTTATAGTAAAGACTCATGCATTATTTAAAGTGGAGTTTTTGCTTGTTCTTTTGAGACCGGACTTTTTAGTACAGGCTGCTTCAACTCACTGTATAACCTCATCAACCCCAAATCTGTAGTCCTCCAGCCTCAGTATCTGTAGTACTAGGATTGTGGTACATGTCACCATGCCAAGTTCTTTTTCTATCTTTCCTTTTAATGGTTTTTAATTTTTTTTACAACCAAAATATAATTGCACCTTTTCCTCCCTTCAATTTTCCTATGTCCCCTGCTCTTAAGTCATGGCTTTTTTCATTATTACTACATATATTTGTGTATAAATATATCAGTACAACCTTCTCAGTCTGTTCAGTGTTGTTTGTATATGATTTCAGGTCTGACCATTGGTATTGGATAAACAATTAAGGGGCTCATCCCCAGGAAAAACTAATTTCCTCTCATTAGCCATTAGTTGCTTATAGTTCTCTGATTAGGGATATGCCCACATGAGATTTCCCCTTTCCACATTATGTGTATATTTTTAATATTGTCCTTAAGTTGTCTTTAGGCAGCCTTATTGTGGAGGGATCCTAGGTGAAGTTTCCCTTTCATTTCTCGAAGGCACAATCTCGCAGCACATTTCCTAGTCTCCTGTCTTTTAGAATCATTCTACCCCACTCCCTTCCCTGTCCCATGTTCCTGAGATGTAGGTGCAGGAATTGTGTTCAGTGGGGCTGGGCACACCACAATTACCTGTTCTCTGAATTTGACCAGTTGTGTTCTTTTTGTCATGGTCTCTGTCTACTCCAAAGAGAAGTTTCTTTGATGAGGGTTGAGAGCTATATTTACCTTTGGGTATGATGATTAGTATATACAATACAGTTAAGACTTTTGTTAGTTTAGTCAAGAGATAATAGAAAGTTTTCTTCTAAGATGCATGATCTCACTAGCTCTGGATAGTTGGGTACGTTTCTACGACCCTTCTGGCAAGCAGGCCTTAAGTCCAATTAGAAAGCTTTTGTTTACTACCAAGATATGAGTGCCACTATTGCGCCCTGATGGATATCTTGCCATGCTGGTTATTGTTGTGATTCATAGACTTCACAGCTCGATAGAAGTATTGATGCCCCCCTCACCCCTGCCCCCTCCCATGGCAGCTTGCATAACATCTTTTAGTATGATGAAAGCCAGTCCACAGGGAAGAGGCTTTTATGTCAACTCAGATCCTTTGGATCTTGAGCCTGAGTACAATAGGGTCTTAACTTCAATCTCTAGGAGGGAACCAAATATGCCCAGTTCTTGAATTGAATTCCAAAGTGTCTTCTTTAGCTACAGTATGCATAAAACACAGTTCACTCACCAAAAGTGTATAACTCAATCTTTTTTTTTCTTTTTACTGTATTTAGAGCATTGTATATGTATTGGAGATTGTTTTTGCTATTCAGCCTCTCTTGCTTTTAGGGCTAGTGCCCCTCACCAAATAATTCAGCTGGGATTTTAATAGGGATTTCACTGAATGGAGATCATTGTGGAAAATATTGTCGTTTTAACCTTTATTCTTGTGACCGATAAATAAACTTATTCTCTCATTTTATTGTGTTATGCATAGAGATTGAAATAGGGGCTTATAGAGACATTATAAACTATGAACCTCCTTTGTAGTACCCTGATTTTAGTTATTTCATGCAAAAATAACCTAATTGGATATACCACTATGTGGTGTTATTTATTGTTTGTTTATTTTAAATTTTGAGTGTCAGTTTGAACTATAAACTTCTTTGGGGTAGCCTATATATTAAATTTCTTATTATTTGGTATCATAGTTGTTTAAGAAGCTATGTTAATGTTTGAAAGCTCATTATAATAGAGTTGGAATATGAGTGCTAGTAGGAAATTGCTGTTAATAGTAAATAGGTGACATTTCTAATCCTCATTCATCCATAGTCATGTTTTTGCTTTGAAGAAATAAGAGATGGGCATTGCTTTCTGGAGTTCATCACCAGGCCCAATTTACATGTCCTTTAAATTTATCTTAGGTACCAAATCTGATTCCAGTTTTGATGTTCAAATTGGGAAGACCTTTAGAGCCTGTATTATACAATGACATATTGTATACTTTACCTACTCTTGGTGTTCACAAGGTTAGTATATCACCTGACTGATTCTTTTGGTGTGGGGAGACACCTAACTGGTTAGTATTGATTTCTGTTTCATATTATGAAATTTCAAGTCCTAATTTTGCCATGATCATTAATTGCCATTTTTTCTTTTATAGTAAGTAGCTAAAGTCTACAGATAAAATTATTATAATATGTAAAAATTTAAATCTCCAGATATCTGTTTTCCTATTGGCTGTTCTCTGAGTTTAGACTCCTGCTTCTCAAATTGCTTGCTAGTCCTTCCCAAAGCTATCTCCCTTCCTCTTAGAAGATGGGTGCTAAGTAAGCTTACACTTGTTCTTATTCATAACAAAGAGTTTAAAATGCCTTTTGCAACCTTTAAGTTGCCTTCCTTCATGTAAACAGTTGCCTTAATATTTTTCTAGGTATGTATAGGGCAGATTCTGCGGGTAATCCAACTGCTTGGAACCACTCCACGACTAAGAGCTGTCACATTGCGCCTGTTGACATCTCTGTGGGAAAAGCAGGTGAGCTTAGATATACACTTGTTGCATATTAAATGTATTCCCTTTTCTGAAGAAAATAGTTATTTGACATTGTGACTTACTATTACTATAATAGTATCCTCAATGACCACATTGACAAATTTTGATTTATTGTGGTGTATTTGATTAGTAAAATAGTCAATTGTGTTTGACTCAAATTGAGAACATTCAATAATCTTATTGCTCTACGTCTGACATTTATGTCTCCATTTGTATGATAAAGTAATAGAAAAACTGTTGTGATTAGAGCCTTTGTAGAAGGGTGTGATCTTCTTACTTGTTTTCTGGTATGAGCAGTGACAGGTCTGTAAGGAAAGCCTCTATAATCACAACTGCATTCTTCTCTGGTGATTATCAGATACATTATAATTTTTAAAGCAAATTTAAGATTTGGAGGTGAAAATGCTGCATAAAAGGAGGTAATCATTATTCAGCTTCCGTTAGGAAATTACCTTTTTTTTGTGGAATTGTCTTATTAGGATCGTGTATACCCTGAACTGCAGCGTTTCATGGCCATGTCTGATGTACCCTCTCTCTCTGTGAGCAAGGAGCTCCAGTGGGAGAAACTGATTGCAAAGGCTGCGTCCATTAGAGATATATGTAAACAGAGGTAAGATGAGCTTCATTCTTCAGGATACATGTCATGAGTGGTTACTTATCACTTTTTTTTAATACAGAAAGATATATTATTTTTCAAAATCAATTATGTTTTTCCTTTTTAATTTGGGTCTTACATTTTACTATGTAGGGTATTTATAAGCCCTTCTGGGTAATAATTTAATATTATAGTGACAAATGTCATTTTGTTTTCTATTTTTCAATTTTTTTCTGTATATAAATTCCTGACAGCTAAGCAGTAGACTGTAGGCCTAAACAGTTCATTGCTGTTTCGTTTTTGAGATTGGCGGGGGTGAGGGGGTAGGGGGGTGTCTCACTGCCTTTCCCAGGCTGACCTTGAACTCAGAATCCTCCTGATTTAGCCTCATGTGTGCCACAGTGCCCCTCTTGGGGCAGATTCTTGTAAGCACTTACAGTAGGAAAGGCCTTATTGTGACTTATATGGAATTACTATAACAAGGGAGAAAATGATGTTGGGTTTCCTTCTGTCCTCTAAGCTTTTAAGAAGACAGAATTGGCACCTAGTCTAGGTTAGGGATAAATCAAATAGCTAAAGTTTCTTTTCTTTTTCTTTTTTTTTTTCCTCTCTTGAATGGAGTGAAATAAAACTATGTAGAGGAACTAGATTGGTGCATTTGACATCATTTCTAGGTCAGTAGCTTCACATGTGCTAGAATGCAGCATTGTAGAATCCCTGTGAATGTACTCTTACTTCTGTCCAGACCCCAATGTAAATCATGTATCCTGAAGGTGTGTAGTAGGTTGATACCTACTGATTCCTATTCCCAGTAAAATTGTGAGTCAGAATGTATAAGTTCTGTCTCTTTTTCTGAGCCTTTCTGCAACATAAAAACAATAGCAATCTAAGATACAAGAAAGCTACACTTCCTGTAATCTAAGACTTGTGTTTCTGGCTTTTATTAAAATGTTGGCATAGAACAGATTTCAGAGATGCTAAGTTCTTAGCTGACATTCTTATTTTACACAGAAGGTTGAGTTATAGGAAAGTTTGGCTATCAGACCAGATCAGGACTGGGAGCTTACTCATGTTCTTTTCTTTTGTACTCCCAAATATGTCAGTTTTTACCCAGTTTGGGAAAATCATTTTCTTCTGTGGGACAATGAGACAGAAGAATCCTTTCAGGAATTTTCATTTTATGGATGATGTTTTAATTAGAGAAAAGTATTATATCCTGAGGCTTTCAGAGAATAGATTTGAACAATTGTTAGTTTAAAGGTATTCTGGGTGCCATAACTTATGTGGAAGAGGTAGTCGAGGAAGGGCAGAGGACATGGGTGGATGCAGTGCCTGGGGTGGGGTAGTTGCACAGTTAGTTATCACTTGTGTTAGTATCTTTATCATCATGGTGATGATAAATATAATTGCCATTTTTAGTATCACTACCATGAATCATAGATGACTCAGTGTGAAAGCATGAGGACCTGAGTTTAGATCCCCAGTGCCCATATAATATAAAACCTGAATATGGTGGTGCATGTGCTTAACCCAGTAGCAGAGGAGTGGAGACGTTGGGTCCCTGGGATTTTTCTAGCTTAAAAAGTAAACTCCAGGTCCAGTGACAGACCTTGTCTAAGAAAATAAGCCAGAGAGTGACTGAGCAAAGACACCAGATGTCAAACTTTGACCTCCATGTGTGCCTTCACGGCCAGGGAAACCTGCAGGGGAAACAGTACCCACCCACACAAAGTGTGTTCCTGCACATATGCATGTGCAAGAAGACACCTACATGTCTGTGTGTATATGCACCAATTTGCAAAAGTGTCTTTTTTAACTACTGTATAGAAATGAACATTAAATTGCGGCAGAAATAATCATAAAGATTTTGAAGGACATGTGTTGTTAGTATTTGAGGGTGAAACTTTAGAAGGTACATAGGTTAGAAAAAGATTTAATACTTTTATTATAGTCAAAAGATGTGGGAATAATAATAGCTCTTTGGCTCTAATTTTGATCTGAAACTGTCATTTGTTGTAGGCCCTATCAGCATGGTGCAGACATGTTGGCAGCCATTTCTCAGGTGTTGAATGAATGTACCAAGCCTGATCAAGCTACCCCAGCTGCCTTGGTGTTACAAGGTCTTCATGCACTCTGCCAGGCTGAGGTAGGTATTTCTGAATGATTTTTGTATAGCTCTTAAGCTGCTTTATAAAGATGTAAGATAAAATTTGGGTAAGTGAAAATGTCAGTATTTTGTGGGATTTCATTTCATCATCTTAGCACTCTATAGAGACCCTGTTCCCTGTTTGTGGTTTTTCTTCCTTCTTACTTATTTTTGCTAAGTCGAAAAGCTGTTTATGGAGCTGTTGGATGTGTTTACTTCTTAATTTTTTGATTAAAGATCATTAGAATCAGTTAAGGCAAAGAAGTAGCTATGGGCCAGGGACACTTGTGAAGTCTGAGTAAATAGTGATTGTCTTGAAGGCTGGCAAAGGGATCTTGCCTTCCTGATGATTGGATTTGGCAGATGGGTGCATAGCAGAACAAAGTTGCAAATTATTGCCTGAAAACTAGACTCTTCCAGAGTGACAGTATATCAAAGAGAATCTTTACTGTTTTGAAGGAATAAGACAGTCATGTCAAAGATCACCCATTGATTTGACCAGTATTTTGATACAGTGAGTGTGCATACTGCAGTTTTTAAAGGAATAAGAAGTCTCTTAAACTTGTAGCTAATCGTGGTTCATAATGATGAAAAATGCTATAATAAACAACAACAAAATTGATTGTTTTTATGTTGACATCCTGTGTTAAACATTTTCTATGCCTGTTCAACAATTACAGTATAGATATTAGCAGGAAAACAGACTTCAGAGAGAAGTTCAACATTTACTCAGGATGTTGATTTGAGAATAATCTGCTATGTGAACACTTCCTCCTCCAGACAGTGACTATAGTACCTGTTCAGCAAAGATGTGTCTCCAGGATAATTCTTTCAGATTTGCCACTCTGTAGCTGGAAAGTTGTTAGACCTTTACAAGACTTCCTTCCTTCCTTCCTTCCTTCCTTCCTTCCTTCCTTCCTTC